CACATCTCGCAGTAGTTGATATCATCCAGTGCAAAAAAAATACAAAAAGAAAACAACAAAAACGCAGAGGAAACTCTTGGAAGGAAAAAGGAATTTTATCAACGCGGTGTCTGAATTTGGGATTACGGTAGCGCACGTTTTGTGCGTCGAGGTTTTGCATCACGAAAATTGCGTCACTCGTGCTTTTTACGCGTTTCGAAATGAGTTGAATTGAATGTATATACCTCCAATGAGTAAACTGTAATAAAGGGGAGCAGAATTATCCATGGGCATTAGCAATGCCCGCCGCCCTCCGTCGGAGGACATCTAGCAAGTAAGGCGGTCCAACTGAGCAGGCGTTAGAACTAGAACTTACAGCGGCTGTAGCTCGCTTCTCGCTCGCTGTGCAGACGAATAGAGTGGGACAGTCTCTAGCTTGGGGGCTGTACTACTTGCACAAGGAAGGACGACCATGTACTACTCGAGCGCGGGGGCTGTCTTTAAAGAAGACAAACATGGCTTTTAGAAAATCTAGTGTTTTTTTTCCTGCACTTGTGCGTAGATGTGCTTTTTTCAAAAGATTGCTCGCACGCGTAACCTGCCGCTTTAACGAGATTCCACATATTTTATTGGTACACATCAAAATGCGGAGATGGCATTGGGTGGAGATGGCGTATGGCAAATGGTACGTTTACCAGGCGAGTGTTCCACTGGTCCAAACCCGGATCGACCCTCATTCACACGCTGAGCGTTCCACCAACAGGGGACGGTGAACTGCAACCAGATTGGTCTGGGAGATTAAAAAGCTGACTCGTGCATCGGCTGCCTCGCAAAGCCGCCGCACCGTGCCCGTCACATCGCATTGAAATGGAAGTACACCCCTTATCCCTGAGCTAGAGTAGGCATGGCATTTGAACATGGCACGGAACTGGTTACTCGTGGAATATTCCAGTCTGGGACAACTGTCATCTTGTTCTGTGTTGGACAGAGACACGACAACAATTGTGTCAAGATGAAAATATCTCGTCAGAAGCATAGACACCTTCACAGTACCCACCGTAAGTGTTCAAAAATTTACGAAAAAAACGCCGATCCGCGTTTTTTTCGTTTTTTCGTTATAGAGCTGTTCTTTTTGATTTTTTGTATGGATACCCATATATTATTAGAATCAGCTCGCCGAGCTCTATCCGAGGGTATGCTCATATTCTACGAAATTGGTTTTTTGCTGGCGCCATTTTGGCGCCACTTGGCGCCACCTTGGCGCCACTACTTTTTCCAACAAAGTCTGTATAAACTCGATTACTGGGGCTACTCAAAGCCCTGTTTACGAAAATGACATTCATTTCTCGCCGTGGCGCCATTTGGCGCCATTAGGTGCCACTTGCGCCACTTTGGCGACACGACCTTTCTCAAAAAATCTGTATAAACTTGCATAATGGGGTTTCTCGGTGCCCTGATCACGAATGTAACATCCATTCCAGGCCATGGCGCCGTT